AAGATGGACGTTAATACATTCTCACAAGAAAAAGGGAAACGATTACCTGCCATCAGGATAAACCTGTGGAGCTACAAGGGGCACACAGGGGAGCTGCCTCACTTGGGCAGTGGGAGTGGGGACAGGTCACAAGCTGCCCTGAGCCTTGGTTTCCCCAGTTGGACAAATGGAGGTAGCAGCCACCTAGCTCACCGGATTATTTTTAGAGGATTAAATAAGATAACACTTGCCATGCAAAGCACTGAAAAATGTGCAGTTAGTGTTACCATAACCGAGGCTGGTAGGTTGACTAGCTGAGAGGTCAAGTTGGGGAGGAAGGGGTGGGGCATACATGAGCCTTACCTGTACTCGGAGAACCCCAGGACAGTCATTCCCTGGCCCATTTTCCATCTGAGTCAGCTGGGAAACTTGAAAATCACAGACTTGTGCCCTCCACTCCAGACCTGGCGCATCAAAACTTCCCAGCATGGGGTCTGCATATTTAACAATCTTTAACAAAGGCCTCTTTCACAATTACAGGTTTAGCACACATTTATCATGAAATGCAAAGTTATGAAAAAAAAAAGAAGGAATTTCCCTCAGCTACCTCCCCTCTGCTCCAGGAGGCACCAGGGTCAGCCAACTGGTACAACACATTTTCAGCATTCCAGCTCTATCAGTGGTCATAAAAAGGAAACTCACAGATAAGCACTTACTTGTGGTTTGTTCTCTGTAAAACTATCCTCCTATCAAGTGTCTTCCTCTTGTTTCTTGCTTTCCTCCCCCATTCTCCATAATGTAGCAGAACTTTGAGATACATAAAATGAAAGACACGTTCAATCCGTGAAGACAAACACACGAAGCCCTCCCAGCGACACTGATAAGCTGAGCAGGTGAAACCTGCATGGGTGAAACACAAAGGGCTCTGTTGAGGAGGTTTCTTGGAAGTGAAATAAGGGGCCACTGCACAGTCTGTCCCCAACTTGTCATGACCTGCATAACGGTTCAGCTCTTCTTTTCAGAGCCATCCACCTGTAACGTTCTGTAGAATAGATGGGACCCATTGTATCCACTTTCTGGTTCACTATCCAGGGGCTGTTTTATTTCTGCAGTAAGTTTTCTTACTTACAGGTGCTTTTACTTACGCCTAAAGTTTAGTGTCCAAAGAGTGAAATGGATTCAATGTGCATTTGAATCCTAATAGATATTGACAGATTTGTTCCCCCAAATGTCTGTGGCAACTGACATCCTTACCAGTAAGGCAGGAAATATGTGTATTTTAGAATAACTCCCTAGGCCCAGAGCCACTAGCCCTGATGGCCTCCAGGTTGCCACAAGGGGTGTTGGCCCTGAATATAGCAGTGAATGGGTGGGCTCCCAGGGAAATGAAGAAATGGTTCTTATCAGCTGTCTCATCTCCTTCCCCCTGAGGCAAACCGACTGGGTGGGAGGAACTTCCTCCAACACCCCTATATAAAATGTCTTTGTGAGATGCTGAAAAGGAGGATCTGAACTTTGGGGATCCCTAAGAAAACTTGGCACAGGTGAGAGCTTTCTCTGTTGTGGTGGAACTTCAGCTTCAGTGATGATGACGGTTCAGTCTCCTGAGAGCTGCCTGGCTTTGGCGGGCAGGTGCTTGAGGCTGGCGTGTCTGTATGTGGCTTTCAGGGTACAGGTGTCAGCAGGGCAGCACATCTCATCCTCGGCCTTGCGCATTCTGTTGAGGTATTGAAAGCTCTCTTTATCTGGGAAGGCAGATGGTGGGAGCCCTGGTGGAGGTGGGGAAGTCTGTGGCTTTTTGAGCTTTGAGGAGGGGTCACATTTTCTAAGTGCTGTGTGTTCCTAGGAAGCCCAACAACCATTGCTCCTCCTTCCTCACTTGGCTCATAGACTCTGAGGGACCCATTCAGTACAAATAAAAAGCATAATATTCCCTCCTTCACTTCTAGGCCTGCAGGAAAGCCAGCCTCGGCCACTGCATTTTATTCAGGAAGTGGCCCCTGTGTCCTGGGTCCTGGAGACTCAGCAGCTGGGCACTGCATGGGCTTTGGGGGCCTTCATGCTTTCTATGCATGCCTTCTTTTTCTCCACCTCCATCCACAGTTCCGTAATAGTGTGGCTGCAATGCGTGTGTGTGTGTCGACAACAAGCTGTGCTCTCCCTTGTAGGACACAGCCACGATGAAACTCCCCCTACTTCTGGCTCTTCTATTTGGGGCAGTTTCTGCTCTTCATCTGAGTAAGTGTTCTTTGCCTTCAGTCTTTCTTTCTCTGTTTTGTTCCTTTGTGGAGTAGATGGGGTCGGAGTCACATCCCCATGCCCTTCTCTGATCGTCCCCTATTTCAGAATCTCTGTGCATTTAAAAGGATAGGGACCCCATGGCCAGGAGTGGAAAGGACTCCTCAGGGCATCTGTTATGGCTGTGGCCTGGGTTCTCCTGTGACATTCCCAAGTTTGTCCTTTCCACGTGATGCTAATGATGGTCACAATAGTAATGGCTTCCTTTCACTTTGAGCTTCCCGGATGCATGGCTCTAAGCATTTCTATGCCTTACCTCCCTTCCCCCTTGTAGCATCCCCTCAGGTAGGGTTGGGTTCCCATTTCACCAGTGAAGAAATGAAGCTAGCAAATGAAGGAATCTTGCTCTTCACCACCTTGGCCTTGAGGGGGAGGTTGAGGTCTCCTCTGGAGACTTGGTTCTAGGTTCCTCTTTCCAGGAGGTGCTGAGCCCTGTGATGCGCTCAGAGCCAGGCAGGAGCTGTCCGTGGTTGGGGGGGGGGGCAGGTGGAGGTCTGAATATGTGAAGGAAGGACATCTGGCTTTTCTCCCTGCCAGGGGCTAAAACTTCCACCTTGGAGAGCAGCCTGGGAGCTGAGACCCTACCTCAGCATGGGGAGATGCCAGAACAAGAGGCTGAGGAGGCCCCTCCTGGGGAGATGGCATCATTGGAGGGAGAGGAGGAAGGGGGTTGTGGCAGTGAAGATGCCCCGGAGGAAGAGACGGCTGCTGAGTCCATCTCAGCCCTAGATGTGGTGGACAAAGACGTTCTGTGTCAGTGTCCTAAGGAAGAGGACACAGTAAAAATAACGGGGATCCCTGGGTGCAAGACCTGCCGCTTCATCCTGGTGAATGCTGCCAGGAATTTTAATTCTGCCCAGGTAAGTGGCTTGTGGCTGAGGCTGAGGCCTGCTGGAAGAGGAAGGGGGAGGATGTGTCTCCAGCCTTTGTACCATTGGTTCTTTTCCCCACTGAAGACCCTGGGGGTGTTGGCAGAAGCTGAAGCCCACAGAGGTATTGGGGTAAGAGGGGAGGGACAGACAGAAACAAACAGCAGTTGCCTTTTGGTCTTTTGTCTTGACATGGCTGAATTGTGGACACTCAGAGACCCAAGGCTATGGTCATATGAATTCATGTAGGAGTGATACTCCATTCTTCCCCTTTCATCTTGTCCTGCAGGCAACTTGCCGGCGTTGCTACAGGGGCAACCTGGTCTCTGTCCACAACTACAACTTTAATTCACAAATCCAGTCCACTCTCTGCACATACAACCAAGGCTATGTCTGGATTGGAGGTGTGGCCTCACGCAGGGTAAGCTCTACTTGGTGGGGGGCACCCCTGACCAAGAAAGCGCTGAGTTTGCTGTAGATTTGTCTTTATTTCTCCTCTATGATCCCCTGCAGAACTGGGGATAGAGAAACACCTGAGTGAGATGCTGAGGGGCTGCATAGCATTGGGAAGAACCAAGGATTTAGAAGCAAGAGGTTTGGGTCCCAGTCCGTCTCTGCCTCCATCCGTGTAACTTGGGCAAGACCGTGGGCTGTTCCCTCCTCTCTAGGATGGGTTGGCAGCCCCTGCCCTACCTCTCGTTAGGACAGGAAGGATGAGTATGTCAGTGAGATGCAAAGAATGTGACTGTCATGATCACAAGGGGTCAATATCTCAGAAGATCAGGACAATGTCCAGCACAGTCCAGTAGGCAAGGACTTTCTGGAGGAGCTGGTGGGGACAGGGCCAGTTCCGCCTCTATGTTTTCCCTTTGCCCCCTCCCGAGCCCACCCCTTCCCCTCCTGCCTACCTCAGGGCACCTCCATACAGATGAGCTGGGTTGACCAAAGCCGCTGGAATTTTTCATACTGGGCTTGGGGCCAGCCGTCGATCTCCAATGGCAGATGTGTGACCATGCATTCTGGAAGTGAGGCACAGCTAAGGATGAATGGTGGGAAGGTCCCAGGGAGGAGGCTCGAGGAAGAACCTGACCCTTTTGGGGAGAAGTTCCCTTAGTCTTTAGACTCCACACTGAGGTGTGGAGATGGATGAGGGAAAGACCCTGGAGGATAACTTGGCGGGGGGCGGGGTGGGAGGGAGACAAGAGGCTGATTGTTCCTTCTGGTTCCACCTTTGCAGGAGGCCGCTGGTTTGTAGTCAACTGCAACCTGAGCCTCTCCTTCGTCTGTTCCTACTGAGCTGGCTCCAGACTTCAGACCCACCACCTCTTGGGCAGCGGCCTCCCTTCCCCTGCCTGCTGCCCCTCCCTCCAC